AATACTACCCTTGTGCCTTTCAATTTATAACTTCTGTATACCTTTCCTAATCCTTTGACTTTGGTTTGACCAAGCCTTAATCCTCAATTAAGGTCTTGGAATTCTTCCTTAATCCATGATTAATCATGCTTTCTTGGTTAATCACTAACCCTTAATCCTTAATCCAATATTTAATTAAGGTCCTCAAGTCACATAGTCATTAATACAACATAATCCTCTAAGATTAAGTCACTAATCCCTTATGGATTAACCATTAATCATTCTCTAATCAACATGATTAACCTTTAATCATTCCTTAATCAACATGATTAATCATAATTAATCATCCTTTAATTAACATAACTAATCACTAGTCATTAATTAATCAAGGTAACTAACCTTAATTACTTACTAATCTTTAATCAAATAGCATGACTAATCTTAGCTATCACTAAACCATAATTAATCAAGGTAATTAATCCTAATCTTCCTCAAATAAATCATTAACTAAAAATAATTAACACTTAGAGAGGTAAACATACATTTCTCTCTCTTCTTTCCTTCCTTCTCTCTCCTAGAACTTAAGAGCAAAACATTCCCTCTCTAGGAAACCTCTTGGCCGAATTGTGAAGGGTGAGGGGGGTATTTATAGGCTTGAATTTTTCAAAATACCAAGAATGCACTTGGAGAAAAAGATGTGATCTCGGCCGTCCATTCTTTTTCACTTTACACATGGACAAATCTTAGAGCACAAGCCTTGAGATCATGACACATGGAAGGACACCTATTCACCATGTGATTTTCATGTGGTAAAAAATATTATTTTAATGTTTTGTCTCTTATTTCCCTTTATGCCCTTGAACAATTTGGAAAATTCCAACCTTGTCCTTCCCCCTTATTTTGGCCAAATTATTACTCTAAAAATTGGGAGAAAAATGACTCATCCAATATTCAGTGCAATCCACTGATTATTTGTGTATTTTCGGTCCAATTTTCCAACAATCCTGTCCGATTTACTATCACAAAATTTTGATTTCAACACCTCCTTAAATTCCTCTCATTCCAAGGATATTCCATATTTTTTTCAAGTTTTACCTCCCTCTATAATTTTCTAAATTTTATTCCGTCAAAAATCAATATTCTACCAATAATAATTCGGTAATAAATATTCTTTAAGCTAACCTCTGTACTTCCAAAGGTGGGAAGTAATTTTATAAATTAGGATAATATGTCACATAATTTATCCCTATTTTTCCTTGAATTTTTGAGGCCTCCATATATTTTAAATAATGGAAATTGGCTAATTTTCCTTAATTAACCAAAAATTCCAATAATTACAAATAATTCCCTGATAAATTATTTTTTATCCTATATTCACCTTCTAAGCCTCAAACATTATTCTGTACCCTCCTTTCTATTTTTCATGATTTTCTGGGAATTTTCAAGAATTTCAGACATTATTTCCAATACTGCCCTTTCTTGACCGATCTTTTCAAAAATGACCGTTATGTCCCTATCTTGATTTTTCCTCATAGCCTGGATCCTCTACCAGTCTACTATATTACTTGACCTTAGTCAGTCTCAAATCATTCATTAATTAGGATAAAATTATCAGGGTGTGACACCTTTCCTCCTTCCAATGGCTTCAATTATATCCTCCTAGTAGTTGATTATCTTTCTAAATGGATAGAGGCCATTCCCACCTGAAAAGATGATGCCAAAACTGTAGTTGAGTTTGTAAAGTCTAACATTTTTAGTCGGTTTGGGGTTCCTAGGGCTTTAGTGTCACACCCTGATAATTTTATTCTAATTGATGAATGATTTGTGACTAACTAAGGCCAAATAGTATAGTAGACTGGTAGAGGATCCAGGCTATGAGGAAAAATCAGGATAGGGACATAACGGTCATTTTTGAAAAGATCGGTCAAGAAAGGGCAGTATTGGAAATAATGTCCAAAATTCCTGAAAATTCCCAGAAAGTCATGAAAAATAGAAAGGAGGGTACAGAATAATGTTTGAGGCTTAGAAGATGAATATGAGATTAAAAATAATTTATGAGGAAATTATTTGTAATTATTGGAATTTTTGGTTAATTAAGGAAAATTAGCCAATTTCCATTATTTAAAATATATAGAGGCCTCAAAAATTCAAGGAAAAATATGGATAAATTATGTGACATATTGTCCTAATTTATAAAATTATTTCCCTCCTTTGGATGTATAGAGGCTAGCTTAAAGAATATTTATTACCGAATTATTATCGGTAGAATAGTGATTTTTGACAGAATAAAATTTAGAAAATTATAGAGGGAGGTAAAACTTGAGAAAAATCATGGATTACCCTTGGAATGAGGGGAATTTAATGAGGTGTTGAAATCAAAATTTTCTGACAGTAAATTGGACAGGATTGTTGGAAAAATCGGACCGGAAATACACAAATAATCAGTGGATTGCACTGGTTATTGGATGAGTCATTTTTTTTCCAATATTGAGAGCAATATTTCGGCCAAAATTAGAAGGGGGAGGACAAAGTTGGAATTTTCCAAATTGTTCAAGGGCATAAAGGGAAATAAGAGACAAAACAATAAAATAATATTTATTTTCCACATGAAAATCACATGGTGATTAGGTGTCCCTCCATGTGTCACTTTCTTATGGTGTGTGCCCTAAGATTTGTCCATGTGTAAAGTAGAAAAAAATGGACGGCCGAGATCGCATCTTTTTCCCGAAGGGCATTTTTGGCATTTTGAAATATCAAAGCCTATAAATACCCCCCTTCCATGAACAAATTCGGCCAAGAGGTTTTGTTGAGAGGGAATTTTGTGTTCTTGAGTTCTAGGAGAGAGAAAGGAAGAAAGAAGAGAGAGAAAGAGAGAAAGCAAGCTTAGACACCTCTAATCGCCGATTAAGAGCTAATTAAGGTATGTTTATCTCCCTAAGTGTTAATTATTTTTAGTTGATTATTTATTTGAGGAAGATTAGGATTAATTACCTTGATTAATTATGGTTTAGTGATAGCTAAGATTAATCATGTTATTTGATTAAGGATTAGTAAGTGATTAAGATTAGCTACCCTAATTAATTAGTGATTAGTTATGATAATTGAAGGATGATTAATTACGGTTAATCATGTTGATTAAGGATTGATTAAAGCTTAATCATATTGATTAGAGAATGATTAATCATGTTGATTAAGGAATGATTAAGGATTAATCATGTTGAGTAGAGAATGATTGATGGTTAATCCAAAAGGGATTAGTGACTTAATCTTAGAGGATTATGACTATGTGACTTGAGGACCTTAATTAAATATTGGATTAAGGACTAAGGGTTAGTGATTAACCAAGAAAGCATGATTAATCATGGATTAAGGAAGAATTCCAAGACCTTAATTGAGGATTAAGGCTTGGTCAAACCAAGGTCAAAGGTTTAGGAAAGGTATACAGAAATTATAAATTGAAAGGCACAAGGGTAGCATTATATTGAGAAAGAATGGTATACTGGATATGGAATTTACCATACCCTTACTGTATGGTTGATAGGCAATTCTTCTGGAAACCTAGGAGGATCTCCAGCAAGGGAACAAGGAGGAAACGTTAAGCGTGGAATTGAGGTAGCGTGAACTGCAATTATTTTGTTGATCTGCATTTGGTGTATCTGCTATGTGTGTTTATGTGCCATGAGAATGTTTATGTACAGATGATGTGAACTCCTTGCAATGTATGCCTTGGCTCTTGCATGATTGAGTTGAGACCAGAATGATTATATGTTCCATGATATGATGACATGGATACAGAATGGTTATGGCATGGCATAAAGACTAGAAATGTTATTTTATTGCATGTAGCATGACATCTTATGCATGTTGACTTGATGGTTGTATGTTCAATGCTACTGGGATTTCTATGAAATCTCATTCCTCCTATAACATGATATCCTAGGTGCCACTACTACCAAGGAGAAGGGAAACGAAATAATCATGGCTTGAGGAAGTTATGAATTATGTAATGTATTATACGGTTTTGAACCTTTCTCTTTCAAGCCATGTAAGCATACTATGATCATGAACACATGATATGATAACCTTTTTGGAATGTATATTAATGATAGAATAGCTTTACATGTGATTATAGTATGATTATAGTGAAAAACGAAATGCTGTTAGAATCAGTGAAAAAGGGGATAAAAATGGTCTAGATTTGACCAAACTTTGACCAACGAAGACCCTAGTCAAATAGTTGACTTTTTCCCTGAAATTTGGTATGCAAATAGATCTTATTTTTCTGTTTAAAATGAGTGGTAAAGCGTCACAATCGGAGCTCTGTGTAAGAAGTTATGCCTTTTCAAAGTTAGGCAAAAATCCTGAAAAATAGAAAAATGACCAAATGAACAGTACTTTTCGAAATTGAAAACGAATGCGTTTCTGATTAAATCGGAACCTGAGGTCATTTTTCCTTGATAGATGATGTTAAGAGCTTCGAGTGAGACTTGGAATGACCTTGTTTCAATTTTTCTAGAATTAGTTATGATTTTCCAAAGTTATGCCAAGTTTAAGGTTACGGTGAATAGTAATGCGAGAAAAGAAATTTTCAAATTCAGGTTTTTCAACCCGATAACCTTAAATTGCGCTTCCGAATGTCTTAACTTGGCACAATATAAGGTCGTAAACGTAAGGTGTTACATTTAGTGAGTGATCAAGGAACCCACTTCTGCAATAGGCTTCTCAGTAGCCCACTTGTAAAATATGGGGTCACACATAAAACCTATACTGCCTATCACCCTCAAACAAATGGCCAAGCAGAGGTGTCCAACTAGGAAATTAAGTGGATCTTGGAAAAGATAGTAAAGCCTTCAAGAAAAGACTGGAGTTTGAAGCTTAATAATGTGCTGTGGGCTTATCAAACTGCATTCAAGAACCCTATCGAGATGTCTCCATACTGCTTTGTCTATGGAAAATCATACCACTTACCAGTGGAACTGGAGCATAAAGCTTATTGGGCTGTTTCGACATGCAACTAGGAAATGGACAAAGCTAGCAAGGAAAAGCTATTTCAGCTTCAAGAGATAGAAGAACTGAGACGAGAAGCCTATGACAATTCCCGGATGTACAAAGAAAAGTACAAGGCCATCCACGACAGTAGTATATTGAGGAGAAGTTTCAAGCTTGGTGACAAAGTCCTTAAATTCAAAGCCCGATTCAAGTTTGGAGACAGGAAGTTGAAAGAAAGATGGAATGGACCTTACATCATAACAAAGGTCCTTGGCTATGGAGCTTTTGAGCTCAAAGATGAAAAGAACGGCACTACACATCTAGCCAATGGACACCTCCTCAAGCTTTTCTATGGCAAGCCTGCAAAAACGTAACCCCAAGTTGTTTCTTTCCTCTCCTTATCCTCTATCAGTTTGAGATTGCTGGTGATATCATTTGTTGTTTGAATTGTTGGATTTGTGTGAGGGAGGAAACTCTCTAATAGTGTAGCTATCCTTTGTTTTTGTAGTTCGTTTTGTTTGCTCTTTGTTGTTTACTGTTAGTGTGTTCCCTTGTTTTCTTCTATCCTCCCCTGTTTTGCTCCAAGTTTTGGCCTGTGTGGTACCGTTTGCTGTTTACTGGTCGATGATTGCTGAACTGTGCTATTTTAGGGGTGGTTTTGGTTTAAGTTAGAGGGTTCTTGTTGCTAGGGCTTGTTTTGCTAAGGGTGTTGGGTCACTGGTGTAACATCCAGACTTTTAGGCCTAGAAGTTCCAAAAATAGCCTAAATTAAATAGGTTACCAGACCCCTGTGAGCAGAAGTCCCAAAGATGAAAAGGGAAGTTAAAGCAGTTTCAGGGACTAAACTGCAAAGTAAAAGTTTTTAGGGGCTCGAGTATAATTAAGGTTAGAGGCTCCAGTAAAGTCTCGAAGGCCCAAAAAGAGAAAAGAGACTAGATACAGGCTAAAGGTTAAGCTAGAAGCCTCAAAGAGAAGATTATATGAAGCTAAGTCCAAGAAGGGACTAAAATCGTAAATTCAAAAAGTTATGACCAGTAAGGGCAAAAATGGAAGAGTGTGCAAAAAATTCCAAGAAAATCCCAAAAAATGGGAAATAATATTCTAAGACTCTTCTATGAAGAGAAAAGATGAAAATACCCCTGAGGCAGCTTAAATGGAATTTATGAGGTTGTGACCGGTAAAAAGTATACCGTTTGAGGTAATTATTTGAAATAGCAAGAGACCTCAAAAGTGTATACAAAAATGAGGTTAAAGGGTTGAAAGGTTGTACTAATTTATAAAATTAGTCCCGCCAGTAGAGTGGCTTTAATAAATTAAAGAGTCGGTTTTACCGATAAAAGGGTATTTTAGTAAACAACTTTTATACAAGGCTTAAAGGAAGTGTTATGGCCTGAGAAAATTCATAGGTATTCTCTAGGATGAAGGGGAATTTATGGAGTAGACAGAAGAATTTTCTGAACCCCGGAAGGCCATAAGGAAAGCCAGAGAAACGTGGGCCAAGTAAATTCGGAGGAAGCTTATGAAACAAGTTTGATCCAATGGCTAGGATTTGATTTCCCTTTTCCTCCACCACTTTTATGACACTTGGCACCTTCTAGAAGAATTAGGTAAGCATGATGTAATAAGGTGATGCAATGATGATGCAAAAGTCCACTTGAACTTCCAAAATTGCCCTTACTCCTTCTTCTAGCTACCAAGGGCATTTTGGTCCATTCAAGCCAACTTTTTGGCTATAAATAGGCACTCTCCCTCCCCCCATTTCGGCCAAGCTGATGAACATAAGGGGAAACTCTTGCAATTTTGATTCTTGAAGCTTAAATCAAGAGGAAGACACCTACTTTGATCAACCGAGTTTAGATCTGAGGTTAGTAAGTTGTTCCCTCTTGTTTATTGCTTTGAATCTTTGGTTTTATGGTTAAAAAAATGTGAGATCCCCTAAGAGGAGGTGCTGGCCGAATTGACATAAGCTTAGGGGAGGATGATTTTGATGTTAGATCTAGCTAGAACACATTGATTAGAGGTTGTTTCAAGTGGATCTATGTGGAAATTGGAAGAATTACATGCTGATTTGATGCCTGTTTCAAATTAGTTACTGTGCGTATCTGATTCTTAAATTTTGCGTGCTTAAAGTACACTCTGTGAGCTTTAAATCCATGGATAGAACACTTCATTTGGATATGTGTACGATTTATGGTGATTTTTCAAAGTTAGAGATTGAAATCTGGAAACAGTGTTGAACTTTTAGAAGGGTGTCGAGTTCCGTACAATTCCGGTACTGTTCAGCATAGAATTGGTTCCTGAAACTATTTTTCCTTTAAATTTAACTTAATTAGCTTTCAGTGAGACTTGGAAGCACTCAATTTGGATTTTTCTAGATTTAATTATGAATTTTCAAAGTTGAGCAAAAATTCTGGAGATTCTGCGTGAACAGTACCCGCGAACCAAAATTTCCAGATTTGATATTCTTGAATCTAAAGCCATCTAAAGTGGTCCTAATTGATAGGAAATAGATCATAAGGATGTAAAATGATAAGATTTATATTAGAAAAGTTAGAAAGAAAACCCTAAGACTAAGAGAAAGGGGTTGAGGTTCAAGAAAGCTAGTCTTGAACTTTATGTAATCTAATGGTCCTAATGGATTGTGTCATCATTATGGTTATGTTTAGGACCTTTGGAACATCCAAGAGGATGTTTAGTGATGTTGACCGAAAGCTAACATGGTTGGAAAGTCAAGGGAGTCAAAGGAAAAGTAAGAGGAAGGCTTGAGGTGCAAGGTAGTGAACTTACTTATTGTCATTGCTTGATGTGGTATGCTTGTGTGTTGCCGTGTACATGTTATTGAATGTTATTGTGACATGTTTTAGCTGCTGTAATTGCTATTCATGATGAGTAGATTATGTCTCCATGGCCATGCATCAAGAAGTTAGCTTTGAGCATGCTAGTATGTCACTAATTAACAAGAGAATAAACAAGTTGCGGTAGTGCATGAGCATCCATTTAGCATGATTAATATGGTATTGTTTGCTACTGAGATTCCCCCGAATCTCACCCCCTCCCTAACCAACCATTTAGGTCAATCAATGATGGGCACTAATGGCATGAGAAGCAAGGAGAAGAAGTGGAGAATTATTAATGCAAATGATTGATATGAATATTCAATGTATAATTCTCCTATGCTGTAAATTATGTTATGAATGCCATCAATTCAATGTATATGCTTAGGATGTTTATGGCATGAATGAAAGTATATGAGTATGAATGAGAAAGATTAAGCCCATGCTATGTATGTCAAAGAAGTAAAAAGAACTAAAGTAAGGAGATATTAAGGGATAAAACGTAGGTCATGGAGCAGTTAGTTTCAAGCTTCAGTTTGACCTATCCAATGAATGAGTTAAATCACGAGATTTAGTAGACATATAGTGCACATCCCAAGCTTTAAAATGAGTGGTAAATCACATTATTTGGATGTGTATACAAAGAGATATAAGTTTTAAAAGTTAAGGCGCAGAATCTGGAGAGTCCAGATTTTACCAAACAAATAGTAATATTAATCCAATAAACTATACGTTTTCAGTGAGGATGAGTTCAGTTGAATATTTTTCCCTTAAAGAGCATTAAAAGAGCTTACCGTAGAATTTTGGAACACCTCCATACGATTTTTCTAGAATTAGTTATAATTTTCCAAAGTTGGACCTGTAATCTGAAAACTAGACACTGAACAGTAATTTTTCGAAAATTAACGTCCAAATTGAAATTTTCAAGTTTAAGACCATCCAAAGTGGTTTGGAATAGTTCTAAATGACTGCTAAGGTACTATATAAGTAAGGTGTGACAACTGGTTTTGTATAAGGGCTCAAATTCAGTGGTTTTTGGTTAGAAGGGTTGTTAGGGGTTTTTCTCAAGGTTGCTCTCGATCTGATTCTTTTCATCGTGATGCACACCTAGTTTGTCATGACTAAATATACCTCCCTGACTCCCCGAATGCCTCTGTGAAATTTTTAGTCGCGACGAAAATACTTTTGGTCCCGATGAAGCCGCTTCATTTCCAGACACCCAGACTCGCGTTTTCTCTGTTTCACCCTTATTTGTTTAGTGAAATCCCCCTTTTGCCCTTTGAATCTTTCCCCCAAAAAACTGCCCACTTTCACCTGGGCCTTCATTAACCCTAAACCCTTTGGTCTTTCACCTCCTATAACTCCCAAAACCTCCCTCATTCTCGCCAGTTCACCGTTCAACTACTGCGTTCCAATTCTCTCCATCGCAACTGCTGTCTTTCCTCCAGTTGTTCTCCCAACCCAAGGCTACCACCACTAATCTTACCTTCCTATGCCTTTCCTCTCCTTATTCATTGAAGGTACTTCAGTTTCTCTTCCTTTTTCCTTCTGGTGTTTAGTTTTTCCTAGTTCTTAGAGGGAAGGGTATCTGAATCCTCAAAATTTGCCTGGGGTAGGGTGTAAAGAGTAGTATTTCTGATGTCTAAACTGATGTTAGGCTATTTCGAATTGATAAATTGAACTGGTTTGTAAGTTTTCTGCTATACATTGCTTGATTTCTTGATTACTCTGTTTCAAATTTGGGTTTCACAATTTCTGCTATATTTCGTCACGACGAGACGTGTGTTTCGTCGTGACTAACTGTTTTTGCAAAAGCTAGAACATGGACCATTACGCATTTTAGTTGCGACCAAGGTTCCTGTTTGGTCGCGACGAATGTGCTGAATCCTCTCTGTTCCAGATTTCTCTACTATCCTTGAAAATGGTTTCAAACTTCGCTTGCAATCAAATTCTTTTGAACCTTTGTTTAAAGCAGTTCAGTTTGCTCAGTTTTAGTTGGGTAGCTTGTAGAGAAGTGCAGTGTCTTAGGATTTATCTAGCTTAGTTTCTTTTTCCCTCTTAGGAGTTTGGGAAGTTTGTCTTGGCATGTTGTTGTTTGTTCATGTGTGTTTTGTGTCTTGTGTGTACTGTCTTACTTTTGCAAATGCCTCCTCATACTACCCCAGCTAAAACTAAAGAGCAAGCCAAGCCATAATCTACTTCAGGCCTCTTCTGCCTGAGCGAGAGTTCCCAGAAACTTCTGAAAGTGAGTTTTATCAGTTGGCCATAAAAAGGGGTTTACAAATGAATGGGTATACAATTTACAAACGAAGCTATTCATCATCATTATAAACTGCCAGTGGTGAAGAAGTGTAAATTCTAGCACTATAGAAAGAATTTGACCGATGTCAACTGGGACGACGTCCTTGGGACTCTGTGTATGGAGGATGGAACTTGCCCACAAAGGGGCAAGGATCAGGTATACCTCGAAAGGAAGGTTATAAATGATGAGGCCCGCATTTAGCTAAACCTTATATGCTACAATGTCATGCCCAGTGTCA